CAATTCAATTCAGTTTATTTATATAGCGCCAAATTCTCAACACGTCATCTCAAGGCACTTTACAGTTCAACCAGATCATACAATCAAATTGATACAAAGTTTATTATCTAAGGAAAACCAGTTGATTGCATTGACTCAAATACAATCCCTCACACTAAGCATGCTTGTAGCGACAGTGGAGAGGAAAAACTCCCTTTTAACAGGAAGAAACCTCCAGCAGAACCAGGCTCAGTGTGAGCGGCCATCTGCCGAGGCCGACTGGGGTTCAAGGAGACAGAAGAAGAGACACAAAAAGCAGCTGTAAAAGGCGGCCCCGTCCAGGAAACACACAGCCAGGCAGACGAGCTCCGAGCCAGCTCCCATTCCAGAGGATGAAGAGAGCACATCCACTCAGTCACGGTCAGAGAAACAGGTCCACACTGGAAAACAGCCCAATCTCCAGCATCTATAAACAAGGGTGTTGATGGAAGCAGCACAGCTGATATTTCTCTCCAGGATGACGTCACAGCCAAACAGGAACAGACGAGGCAAAGCTACTCTGAGGAAAAGCAGATAGAGCAGAACGTTAGAGATTGAACTAACAGATTCTGCAGAATAGGAGAATAGGGAGAGAATGAAGCAGAATGATGAAATGGGGGTCCCTATGTCCTCCAAAAGTCTAAACCTATAGCAGCATAACTATAGAGATAGTTCAGGATAACCTGAGCCACTCTAACTATAAGCTTTATCAAAAAGGAAAGTTTTAAGTCTAGCCTTAAAAGTAGACAGAGTGTCTGCCTCACGGACTAAAACTGGTAGTTGGTTCCACAGGAGAGGAGCCTGAGAACTAAAAGATCTGCCTCCCATTCTATTTTTAGAAATTCTAGGAACCACTAGTAAACCTGCAGACTGAGAGCGAAGTGCTCTGTTAGGAACATAAGGAACAATCAGATCTCTGATATAAGATGGAGCTTGGCCATTTAAGGCTTTATATGTGAGAAGGAGGATTTTAAATTCTATTCTGGATTTAACAGGAAGCCAATGAAGAGAAGCCAGGATAGGAGAGATATGATCTCTCTTTTTAATTTTCATCAGAACTCTGGCTGCAGCATTTTGGATCAGCTGAAGGCTTTTAACTACAGTTTGTGGACTTCCTGATAGTAAAGAATTACAATAGTCCAGCCTTGAAGTAACAAATGCATGGACTAGTTTCTCAGCATCACCCCTGGACAGGAGATTTTGAATTTTTGCAATATCCCTCAGATGAAAGAAGGAAATTCTAGAAACCTCTTTGATATGGGATTTAAATGACAGGTCCTGATCAAAAACAACACCAGGCGTTTTTACTTTATTATCTGAAATCAGTTTAATCCCATCCAAATGAATTGACTGGCTAATCAGTTTCTTTTTCAGAGACTCTGGTCCAAAGACTATAACTTCTGTTTTGTCTGCATTCAGAAGCAGAAAGTTAAGAGTCATCCAGGTTTTTATGTCTTCAAGACATGCCTGTAATTTATGTAATGGGTTAGCTTCATCTGGATTTATAGACAGATATAGCTGGGTATCATCAGCATAACAGTGAAAATTAATCCCATGCTGTCTAATAACTCTACCGAACAGTTAGACTTAAAATTATGGGCTCTAGTTAAAATTGGTAAAATATATCAATACATCACTTTTTTTGTTAAGAAAAAGTGTTGCCATTTGACATAAATCTAAGTTGATCTGTCCTACCTCACCAAATCATAATATGTTACATCAAAGGTAAAAATCTTAAGGTGTAAAACTATTGCAAGACTCCCTAGGTACTCCACACCATCCAACTTAAAACAAAGTAGAGGTAAAACGGAAGCTATAAAGCTAAGTGAAAAGCTTAGAATGTCAAACGCTCCCAGCTGTGGTGGTAACCCTTTAATGATAAGCAGCCTTTATTTCTTTTTTGTTGGCTTTAGGGACCGGACACATTTTAAGATTTGCACACATCCAGATTTTGTCTCCTCGATTGTGTAATCTCAGAAGCACCTGAACCAGCACACTGGAACCAGCTTGGGCCTTAAATTTCATAGCAATACATCCAACAGCTGTTCACACAAAACACTTAAGCCACACCTGATTCTGTAGAATCACTCGTTTTCACTACAGTTTTATTCATTAACTCTTAACCATATTTAAACACGACTAGTTCATCTCATTATGGCAGCAGTTTGTATTCAGACTTGTTGATTGGTCTTAATCCTGTCCATGTTTTTTTGTCTGTAACTGTTTGATTTGTGTGCACATGTTTTTTTTTTTTTTTTTTTTTTTGTTCTTAACTCAACCCATCTGTGCTTGGGGTTAAAGAATACCTCAAATTATTTGCACATCTGTATGTGTGTTTATGTGTTTAAGTGTGAACATAAAAAGGCAAACAAAAGTCTCTCTGCTCTGGGCCCAAATGTCTGTTTTCTCAAACATAAGTTGAGTCTTTGCACACTTTCCTTAACTAGTTACAGACCAGGAGAAAGCTGAGGGAAACCAGAGCTAGTTTTCTTTGGAAACAGCTCTCTGAAGTCCCAGTAATATTTGTCTCATCTCTAGGGTGGCGGTATTCTGTTAATTTTAAGGTCACAAAAGTTAACATTTTTCTTCCCTTCTTGCCACAAGTTCAACAAGTTCAATCAATTAATAATATAAATTAGATAAGCAAACATGTAAATATTCAGCTTGGATAGGAAAAAAAATAAAATGTATTTTGCTGAGAAGTATTGGACGTCCTTTCTAAAATATTAAATTGCTATATCCCTGTTACGTCCCACAGGTAAATAAAATTAAGCACCTAATGCGTTCTACAAACATCTGCGATAAAATGGGTCCCTCTAATAAACTTGGTGGGTTTCAGTTCTTAACATGGATTAAATCAAAAATTCCCCCAAAAATCCGATGTCAACTGCTGGTGGGATCATGTAAAAGTAAATGCAAATGGGAAACAACAACATCTCATCCTCAAAGTGCTGGTTTTTGTAAAATCAGAGAGTTTATGCTGAAAAAAGTTTTCCAGCTGACTTCCAGACATGGTGAGACGTTTGATTAGCTCATAAATATTACATAGTGTATTCAGAGTGATGGGTTGCATCCAACTTACATTACCCATTAATTGTTGGATTCGTTGGTTTAAAGCACTGCACTACTGGATAGAGGAATGGAGATGTGTTCTCCCTGCTGCCCTCTGGAAAGAGGCTTTGCAGCATTCCCTGCAGGTCCAGCAGGTTCTGCAACATTTTTTTACTCATTGCTAACAGACTATTGAACTGTTAAACTCTAAACTGGACTCTGCATCACACTCGCAACATTATTTTGCACTACCAACGTAGCTGAAACTTTTACAATCCTTTTAAATAAGACAGAACTCAATTTTCTGCTGCAATTAGTTCCAGATTTATTTTGCACTGCACTGAACCTTTCCAAATATAATGTCCTTTGCAGCATTATTTTTTCAACTGTTTTCTTTTTCTCTACACTGTTTACATGCTGATGACTGCTGCAGTTTATAACGGTAATTCACTGGTTCAGTTCACTGTTGTAAGCTGTAAGCAATGTAATTTTGCTTTGTATGCACAAAATGACAATAAAGTTTCTCTAAGTGTTACTTAGAATGACAAATCATCCTATTCTGTCTAAATGTTTGATTCCTGATTTGGCACTTTTCAGGACAACGTTACTTCCTGAAGATTTCTGCTAAGTGTAAAGCCTTTTGAGGGCACTCTCATGATGTGGGGGGGGAATCTTTCCTGTAAATATGCTTTTCCACTAACCATAAAGAGTAGCTTAACTTAATTTACCACTCTTGTGCAGATTAACTCTCTAAATTGTGCCTTGAGGGTGCTATATTTATTTTATTTTGCAAACTTGGGTAATTTTTGGTGAACTTATTTAATTCTGCAACATTTTGCCTGATAATGTCTTACTCTGCTCTGCCTGGGTTGGATGGTAAACATTGCAGTTTAATTCAGAAAGACGGGCTTTGTCCAACATATGTGTTTGACCACACAAATACATCTTGTCCTTTAAATCGTTTCCTACCTTTTATTAACTTACAGTAATCTGACTGAAATTAGAAATCTGTTTTGCAAAAAGTTCCTGCTAATGACGACAGCACAGAATTAGCTTGAGACACAATTTCAAACATAATATATGTAACTATAATATATGTAAGTACACATTTTTGAAAACATCTACAAAGAGACATACTTATTTCATAGTCCTTAAAAAACTTTGTATCTGCATTTTGAGCATTTGGAGACTTAAGACATTTTCCATCTGATTCCCTGCAATTGAAGCTGCATATTAATAAGGTCACTTCAAATGTTCAGTCCAGACTCTAAGGACTAAAGAAGTGAAGGTTATGCAAGGAATGACTCTAACATCTCTCAATCTTTTTGATTTACAGCTTTCAGAAAAGTAATGAAGTTTATGTAGCTTCAAATTGCTCAGCAAATTCATTTTAAATCCCTATACAGTAAGAATAGTCTTTAAATATAAACGTTTCTTTAAAGTAAAACAAGTCAGCAATAGCAGGGCACACAACTCTAAAATACAAGGAGAGAAATCAGACACAAAAATAATAAAGGCTTAGTGAAATATTTCTCTGATAAAATGCATTTAATTTAACCTTTTCGTATAATAAAACCACTAATAATAACTGTTCAGTTAAAGAAACACAAAACAAAGCAAATACACTGTGCACATTTTCCTTTGCGTGCAGAAAAGATGTAATTTGATCATAATTGCAAATTGTTTCATATTGATAAGTTTTAGAGTCATTGACCATACGGTTAATCCTCCTTTGGCCTCACACTAAGAAACATGCAATAACATTTTTCCTGTGCTGCCATCTAAAGGAAACACATTGCTATAGATGCTGGAATCCTGCAGATGCTTAAAAAAAAAGTGAGACAGAAGAAGACCGTTTTAGACTGGAACCATTTCTTAGGCAGGTCCCATCAACTTCCATCACAGGAAGAACAAAATTAGCCATTAGCACATTAGCAATCAGCAAAAAAACTTTATTTACAGAAATGTTTACAGGTACATAACATTGATCACCGTTTAGCACTGGATTGCTGATGTGCCAAAAAAACTGAAGTCAGCTGCCACCATCTTGGTACTCCCCATTTATAGGAAGTGGCACCATAAAAATGCCTGTCATGTAATGTAAAAAAAAAAAACATGTATATCTCATGTATATCATTACTTTAGCACATTTGGCACATCATCAGATAGTGTTTGTTTGTGTGTGTGTGGGTGTGTGTTTGTGGATGTGTAATATTCTTAATATCTGACCAGTATTATTATGCTCCATTAACCTACTAATTTTGTAGTGATGGATTTGTATAATATTTTATATTACATGATTTATAGACTTTATGGTATTAATACTGAATATGCAATGTGATGCGCCTGTTTATCATAAATTACAGGAATCTACTGATGCTATGAAACAGCAAGTGTGTGTCAGAGTGATAACTTTATCTTTATTTTAAAAAGAAAAAAAATTGAAAAAGAGGACATTATCGTTGTTCGCTGCTGTTGCGCACGTATTGTTTACATTCTGATCTGTCTAACTAGGGAGTACCAATATGGCGTCTGGTGACTGCACAGCACTGTGTACTACCAACAGCCTATCAGCAATCTAGTGAATAACTAAAGATCAGTGGGACATAACAGCAAATTAAATATAACTGAAACTTAACTTACGGTAGATGGAGAGTTGTAGAGAGTTTAAGATTAGAAGCAGTAAATATCCTTTGTCATGTACATAGATAGCTATTTTTCTCTTAACTTATGAAAAATTCAGATTAGTTTATCTCAGGCAATAAGTTTAACAGAGGCCAAAATCAAAATTGAATATTTTAAAACAACCACAATTTCAAAAATATTGAGTGAATTATTATTATTTGTAAACTTTTAAATTATGGTCACTTTTTCCATGGGAAGTTACTTACAACAAAAACTTCCACAGGATGTAAACGTAGGAGACTGCGAGTCACAAAAAAATGTTTTCCTGTGTGGAATGTACTAGAGCTTTTAAAGCTTTTCCAGTTGGGGGGAAAATAAAAAATATGTCAAAAGTTGGTGTAAAATATCAATAAACCACCATTTATGTACACCTCTGTGATCTTTTTACATGTGGGTGGAACAGGTAATGTCTTTTGAGCCAGAGAGCTGTCATACATGAAAATGATGTAAAAAGATCACAGCGGTGCACATAAACGTTGGTGTAACATATCAATAAACCACCGTTTATGTGCACCGCTGTGATCTTTTTACATCACTTTCACGTATGACAGCTCTCTGACTCAAAAGACATTACATGTTCCACCCACATGTTTCACAAAGGAAGAAGACTGATGTTGTACTGCCCTAAACATATATTCTCTTTTGAAATAATCATAGGTTTCTTTAAAGTAAATGTTTGCACACGGCAAACAAAATGATGCTGAACGGGTTCATTAAATAGCATTTAACCAAAACCTTAATATGACGGAAGATGCTTTAGAGAATAAGCATGCATTTGGTCTTGACCCCTTTAGCCTTTGGGAAGAACTATTCTGCTTTATTCTACATTTATAACCTCCGTAAAACATTTCTAATAAACTGTAACTTCATAAGTCCTGAACAGATACTCCCCCCTCAGATATGAGCTCGCATTTAGCTTCATCCATGGAGGAGTTGATGATTGTTTCAGCCAGTTGATGGGCTAGCATGTGAAGATCTCTCTCATCTGATACCTGCTTCTTGTTTTTCATGCTCAAGACCCAGCTTAATATGTCACATGATAGAACCTCTGCGAAAGCATCCACAGTGGTCCCATGGGCTTCCACGCGGTCTCCTGATGGGTCATTTGTAGACAAAGAATGCATCAAATGCTCCATCAGCTCCACTTGAGTGTCACTGATTTCTGAGTTGTCCTCCTTGTCTTTTGGAGTTGGTGGAGGAGGTGAGGGCAAGAAGACCTTCGCTAGTCCACCTTTGAGCTTACGAGCGAAACTGCTCCTGCTCCTCTCAAGCTCAGGGAGGAGAGGGGTTGTCGGAGGGGCATCTGGGTAGTCGAGGGAACCTACAGCAGGAAGACCTGACTGGTAGAGAGGTGGATGGCTGGACTCTGGGTTTTTAGGGGTCTGTAATTCCCTGACTGAGACCATCTCTTGCTCCAACAGGTCCTCTTCTTCCCCTGATGTATTAACATTCTCTTGTCGGCTTGATATAAGACCATCGGTATATTGAGGTATGCAAACTTCTTTAAGAGCAATCTCAATGATTGCTGATACCAACTCCTCAGCTAACACCTCTGGTGTTTGATTGGGTTGTGGTACCTCGGGTTCCAGCTTTTCCATTTGTTTAAGAGATGACTGGATTATGATCGCTGCCAGATCTTGGGCAAACTCTTCCAGAGTGTTGGCATTTATGGAGCTTCCTTGGCCGATGTTTTCAGGCCGTGGACACTTAGAGTCTGAGCTTAGAGTCGGCATTGAATCCTGCAAAGATAAAAGACAATAAGCTACAGGGTATGGATTAACATGTTAATGTTCTCTCTTTTTTGAGAAGGTAAAAGGGCATTTTACAAAAAGCCTTTGGAGTGTTTTCCAACTCTTTTTTTTCCCCCTGTCTCCTGTCTGGCAAAGTGGCAATAGGAATTGTTGTCTTAATGCCAGAAAGAGCCCAACAGATTTTACTGTAAGTGGAGCATTATCACTTTTTATTATGGTTTATGTTGGGAATAATTCATGTTATGTGCACATAAAAAAGGGAGAAAAGGTCAAAGACAGAGAAGATAAAAGAGAGATATTGACAAAACTTAATCAGCCGACTTCATCACCTGCAAAGACAAATGCAAAAAGAAGAGCACAACCATCTGGTATAAAACTACTGATACAATACAGCAACATACAGTATTAAACAATACAGGATGCATAAAGTGGTAGCTGAAGATAAAAATTGGCGAGTATGTAAGTATTGTTAATGTTCTTCTTTAAAAAAAAAAAAATCAAATTGCATCTACAGAGTTTAGTGTGGACAGCTGGAGATAGGCACCATCACCCTTCCCAACCCCAGCAGGGATAAGCATGATGGAAAATGGATGAATGGCTGGAGTTCAGTGTGAACTATTGAGATTGTATGTGAACAGCCCACAAAAAAAAAAAAAAATGCAAAAAAGAAATAATTTTTACAGGATCACCCTTTTGCTTTAGTAACAGCCTTTTGGGCTTGTTTCTAGCATTTATTTTCATACTTAAAATACTCAAGATGAATATGATTGAACAGATATCATGTCTGACCAACTGTTATAAAATTTGCCCAAAGTTCTATGTGATGTAGGTCTGAACCTTGACTGGGCCATTATAATATATGAATATGCTTTGAATCTCTGAAATATTCAAATTAATATCTGGACATATTTTTTAACTTGATGAAAGGGGAACCTCTGTTCCAGTCTGAAAGAATGATGCTTTTAAGGTGATTTGCTTTGTTACCAGTTCCCCTAATAAGATGATTATGGCTTCCCCTAAAAGCCAGGTTTGTTCAGCAGAAAAGTGATATTTCTTTGGTGCCAATTCGGCCTGATTTTTAAACTATATGCAGGTGGAATAATCAGTCCTCTGAATTCAATTTGTTGGCATAATATTAGTTTGATTAAAGGAGGGCTAAATACAGTTGCAAAACTTTTCGGATGTTATATTTGTAAGCAATAAAAAACTCCTTTTTTGCAGGTCTATCAGCTAGAACCCCTATAAATGGCATTTAAGTTCCTAAAATGTAAAAACAAAACAAAAAGTTAGAGTTTTGCATAGCACTAGATGAGTTAAAAATGAGCAGGAAAAATCCTGAAGCATATTCGTGCAAAGAGGATAAATCAAAGCAAAGGGAAAAAACTATTTGAATGATTTGGCTAAAATATTTCAGATGAAAATAGCTTCTGTAAGAAGCATGGCAGAACACCAATGCTGCCCATAAATGGTCCCGCAACTTTCTTCACCCTCTGTTTTATAAATATTTCTGCATTCTTTATCTGCTTCAGGCTCAAGAAGAAAAAACTGATGAGCTACGAATAAAAAAAAGGCTTCCAGTAGTTTCAGAAAAGAAAATGAAGTCGGATATGTTGCAAAGCGATAGAATGAATAGACAAACAGAGAGAAAAGGAAATCCCCCTCAGATGGAAAGTAAAATAAAGGCCTCAACCACAGCCTGTCACCATATGAGTTGTCATCTAGTCCGGATGTTACAGGCAGGAAGCTCAGATCAGAACGGCATCAGCTCAAATTGCTACTCTGGCGTCGATGACAGCAGCAGCTCAAAACTTTAGGTAATAACAATGGCAATATAAAAAAACAAAAAAAATATTTTACATGAAATCTTCATGGCATTAATATACAAATGTTTTTTTTTATACCAACTCAAGTGTTTGATGGATATCAACAGTCTGCTTATTGTTCTTTGTAATTTTTGCCAAGTTGATGGTTAGTGCAATTATTCTTCAGGCAAATACAGCTTTTTCAAAAACGTGTCAAAAACGAAGGACATTCTGTAATTTTAATGGAAGTTTGTGTTCTGCTGTCTGAGCAGAAAAGACGGATTCTCTCATCTTAATCCTGAGTGCTGGCAAACACAACAAATGCATGTTTCCTTGAACGGAGAGACAGGGTTGCTGATTTTTTTTTCTCTTACTGATCAGAAAAGTACATCCACTGCAATTTTGGCCCCTAAAAGTATAGAAAGGCACAATAGAATTACAAAAACCGGCTAAATTAAGAAACTAGATTGAAATTATGATATAAGTTGCTTGCTGAAGTATATTGCCCACCATTCAGTTCTAAATCCTGGAGGACAACAGATCGTTGAGAAAACAGTGCTATAGAAACAGCATTACAAAAGTTTATTAGTGACACAACATTAGTTTTCTGAGCTGTTAAACTGTGGCAACCAATGGCAACTAGGATATTTTAAACATTTTTTGGTACCAATCACAAATCAGGAGGAGTAAACGGATGATTTTTCAAGAAGCAGAGATATTATTGTGTTAGAAGACCATATTACTGTCATATTTTCAGAGGGAATGCTGTTTCTTTTATTTTCTTGGACATCAGCAGGCCATTGCTTTGGCTAAAACTATTTCAAGGCCAGCTGATAATAAGTTATTTTTATAAAGATGAACAAGGTTATAATTTTTGAGAACATTGTCTTAGAAAGTTAACATAGATTGCCAAACAATCTATAAATTAGCTGATGTGTATTTTATTGTTTATATCTGGATTGGTGGTAAGTAAATGAAAAGTCTGTTGCTAGTAGCAACGGTTAGTCCTCTACTGTATACAAAAAACTGGGTGGTTCACTGATAAATATAAGTCTTTTTCCATATTGATCTAAAAACTATTTTTTAGCTTAAGCCCCTGTCACTCTATGTTTTAACCAGCGTCCCAGAATCTTCTAAAATGCTGGCATACTCTGAACTTTCTATGTATTTTATCAATTTTGAGCATATACTTAGAGTATTCATAACGAGTACAGTGACAGTCTAACATATGCGTAAGGTACGGCAGCGTAATGTTCGTGAAATGTCACAAACCAATGTCCTGAGGGGGGCAGCAATGCAGCCAGAGGAGCCCAGCCTGCATAAAAGATGTCTTTGATTGAGGTATTAACCAAGCTGCTGTTCACTGCCGGCCAAAAAAAATTAATAAATAAAAATAAAAAGAAAAGGAAAGAAAAAGGTTTGCAGTTGCAGCAGATTTAGCGTCATGTCTGCTAGAAGGTTTGTTGGCGGTGGGCGTGAACGCAGGGAGGATCCATCACCTTCTCGCTCACCCTATGATGGGGATGAAGTCTGGAGGAGAACTGTTGATTTCCTCCCGTGAACCCCCTTTATACAAAAACATTGCCAATGCGCCATTAAACAGTAGATGGAAGTTAGAAACACGTTCAACGCTCGTCTGGAACACGTCAGATACGTTAATATACATTGGAGAGCAGTTCTTGATAGATTAAGCATAACTTATGCACAAGTTACTCATAGGTTTAGGATAAGCTGACTTATGAGTAACTTACTCTTAACGTATGTCAACGATAACTTACCTGTAACTTATGCCCCACGTATGAGCATACACTGGCATATGTCGGGAAATTTTGAGCATTATGTCAAGAAATTTCGGCATGCTCAAAAATGTCTTGCGTGCTCTTAACTGATAAAAAACGGACACAATGTATGCCACCATTTTTCCAGATTTTTCATACGTCAGGCATACGCTGGCCTAATTTGTCATGTTGCGCCAGGGGCTTTAGCTCTTTGATTCTATTTTATTTTTGTTATCACGTATAAGTTTATATCTGCTTTTTTTATTAAGCTTCCACTAATATTCTTGTCTATGTAACCATTGTTTGTTCTCGTACCTACAACAGGTACCTGCTGAGTTCATGTAATTCTATTGCTTTGTCAAGTTAGTAAAACAGACTAAATTGACCAACTGATCTACAGTAATGCTATTATTTTATTCTGAAACAACAAGAAGTCTCAGATCTTATGAAAAAGTTGTTAAATGATGGAAATGAGTTCATTCTTAAGAAGTGAAATTATGCTAATGATATAACAGAAGTCAAATTAGCATAAAATGAATAAACTTAACCTAAAAGTTCCTTTTTGTGTTTGTCAATAGTAATTTCTTAAAGTTAAACTTTATGTTTTATCAGAAACCCTTAAAAGAAACAGTGGGAAAATGGGTTAACTTTTAAGAACCTTTTTTATTCTAATGATAGAACCTTGTTCAGCACAACAAACTGTAAATGAATTGAAATTGGTTATCAAAGACAATGAAACAATGGCATAAAAATAAACTCTGGTAAAGGTTTGAAGCTAGCAAAGTAGATTTTAGATATATAATAAAGATTCTGCAAAGTTATTGATTTATTTTTAGATGGACATTTTATAAGTTAAATCAAGTTTCAGAAACTCTGAGCATCTAAATCTAGTAAATATTTTCTCTCTTTTCTTAATAAGTCTATTGTTTATATGCTTTTTATGTCACTTATCTTAAGCTGAACTTAACTACTAATGCTCTACTGCTGCAACAATCTACATACAGTGGCCGAACCAGGCTGTTAATGTTAACAACAGGCTTTAAGAGCAATGAAATCTCCATGCATTCTAAGCCAGTTTAATTATATTATCATCACACTTTGAGTTATTGATTAAAAAAATCTGTTAAAACCAGTTAGGGAGAGATGTTCTGACGTTTTTATGACAAGCTAATATCTCGTTGCATGATTTGTCTCACAACGGAGAGACCACAGAAAGGGTAAGATTCAGAGTAAAGCGCAAATATGGAACAAATTATAGCAAGAAGAGTTGTTTTTTTTAATGGCAACGTGAATTGGAGTTTCTGATGAGGCAGAGGAGCGACTTTCTTCTTGGGAGTCCTCCTCATTATCATCTACAACTCCAATCATAAGGTGTCGATACTGAGTACCACTACATGCCTAGGTTAAAGTTTTCACAACCACACAAATAGACTATTAGTGTAGTAAAGGCACTTCTGATGATGGTATGTTAGTTTTTCTTTTTTCTGGTTGACCTTTTAAGAAGGGCTTCTCTCTTCTTCCTTCTTTCTCAGTGGTTCACATCGTAAAAAAAAAAAACTTGTGCTAAAAGCTATTTTAGGTTTGTGTGAATATCTAAAGCCACCCTCAAGAATAAACTCGGACAGAACAAAACTGTAAAAATGTCCGAAAATAAAAAGGAAGTACATATATACTGTATATGAACTCAGAAGAGGTACAGTAGGTCGCGTTGCTGTGAACAAACTATATAGGATGTTAGATAAAAAGGACAAGTAACAATACAGATTACAGAGAGAATAAACAACTTTAGAGAAGTTATGGGAAGTTTGCATAAAAAAGAAAAAGCAAACACTCAATTGATCAGCCCGCTTGAACAAGGTGCATTTAGACAAACTTACCACATTGAAGCTTGTTGCACAGTGCCTTCAGTGTAAATGGGTTGCATGGGAAACAGTTCACAAGTTTTGCTCACTTCCTGTATGTTTCTATAAGTGTATTTGTGCGTGGGAGGGGTGTGTTTGAGAAAATTACAGCACCAAAAAAAAAAAAAAAAAAAGGAAGTAAGAGAGGATTGTTTTGTAATGTTGACATTAGTTTATTGAAGTTCAAAGAGCTTATATTCTATTAGGACTTTTTTGGGTCTAGGCTTGTATATTTATTCTCCTTTCTATGTCAAATGTTTTGAAATATGTAGAAACGTTTAATTCAAACCATGCAGGCAGCCAAAGTTGCCAAAAATGATGTGATTAATTAAAATACAGATGCATATCATAACAACGACCGAATAAGAAGGTAAATGTAACATATTATGCAGCTTGAAAGGTAAAATGATCTGTTTAGTCAGGTGGAAAATGTAAAAAAAAAGGGTCTAAAAACTATATATTGGGATTTTATTTTTCAATTTTGCTTCTTATTTTCCTTTTCTTCAAAGTAAACAGTGTAGAAAACCATCACTGTCCTCCAAGAGGCTTTAGTAAAAACAGTATACAGTATCTGTGAGGGAAACATGGTGCTTAGCTGAACTGAAAGTAGTAAAAGGGAATGAATGTATTTCCCCATTAAGGGTGGTTCACCTAGACCAGGGGTCTGCAACCTTTCATATCCAAAGAGCCGTTTTGCCCAGAGTCCGACCAAGTAAAAGTTGTTTAGAGCCGCAAAATGTAACATGACTTTTTCTAGAAAACCTTATTTTTTTAATCTTGTATAGGAAATTAGTTGTTGCCATCTCAAACAATCAACAAATCATGTATTTTTAATGTTAAAACATATAATTTTCAAGCTAATTCATAGAAAAATGTCTCTTAAAACATATTTCTGGTTCTTTTAATCTAATTCTTTTCCCACTTATAAAAAACACTAAAGCTATTGATACCGGTATATATTAAAGTAAATTATTTAGCTCTTTATATACATTTTAGCCACTATTAAGAGCCACTGAAGAGGGTCCAAAGAGCCATATGTGGCTCTGGAGCCGCAGGTTGCAGACCCCTGACCTAGACAGACAAAAGGAGCTATGTTAAAACCCTTGTACAGTCTCCAGGTGCGTGTGTGGGTTCTCTCCGGGTACTCCTGCTTCCTCCCACAGTCAAAAAAACATGACTGTTAGGTTAATTGGCTTCTCTAAATTCTCCTTAGGTGTGAGTTTGTGCATGAATGGTTGTTTGTCCAGTTTGTCTCTGTGTTGCCCTGCGATGGACTGGCGACCTGTCCAGGGTGTACCCCTCCTCTCGCCCATTGATAGTTGGAGATAGGAACCAGCACCCCTCGCTACTTCCAGCTAATGTTGCATTTATGGTGACAAATATTCACATAAAATCTGTTAACTATATGGCTCAGACATGGAGAACAATATTGTTACTGCAGCAAGTAATTACTGTGATTAAACATGCAGAAGAAACATCTAAAGATGGATAGTCTGGTTGGGATTTTGACATTTTCAAAACAGTCAGTGACTGTATGAAGAGTTAGGTAATTCTGCTCAATCATCACTGCAGGAAGTAACAGGTTGTTGTTTAGCAAAGCCCACTAGGTTAGAATTTCACACGCACAAATTTTACTGATTTCTTTGTTGGAGGAGGGCAAGGGATTACCGTATTGCATAGTTTTGCATTCCTATAGTCCCATAGGAAATGGATTTAAGAATTGGTAAATATATGTATTGTACATTTGAGGTTATATGCAAAAAAAACAAAAAACATAATGATTTAAACAATATTTCCTTTTTTGGCTGAAGTCAAGACAAACCAGCATAAAAAGCTGAAACCCTCAGCAATGATTTGTGGATCTTTGGTTTGTACATTCCACATCTGGCGATTGATCCAGTTCTACATCTCGAATGCATTTCACGAGCCTTATGTGAATTGTTGCCACCATAACCCTGAACTCCATGTCCAAACTCACCCTTTGAATTTTCAAACACTCTGAGGAAGAAGAAACTATTCAAATCTGTCCAGAGTGCACTGTGAACAGCAAAATATTCACCTAAACTATTCTAATTGTGAAGCTGGGCTTGCTTCTAGTACATGAAATGATGTATGCTGATGGTTCACTCAGGGAATGACATAACTCTTTCTCACAGGTCAAAGGAAAATGGCCTTTGAACAGAAATAGATTTATTTCTATTCAGTTATTAAGACACAGAGAGAATTTATGGACTCATCTCTTGATATTCTGACAAGAATCCAAACTGCTGGCAGTGGGATGGATATATTCTGCCAGTTTCCTCTTCTTTCCATCTTCACCTGCCCTCTGAGTTTACACACATGGTATCCACAGTTCTATATCCATCTATGATGTAAATTATCGATGAAGCTTCTCTTTGCTGTAAGACTCAGTTGATCTTTTTTTATTCCCAAGCTCTGGAAACACTTAAGGCATCCTCTACTCAAGGTTAAGATGTGTAAAAAACTCAAATATGTCAATAAAGAAGCATAATGTAAATGTGTACCACAGATTTTTTTATTTTTATTTCTTTCAAGTATTGTTAGATAAGCTTTGTCTGAAATTTATAATCAAATAAATGAAATCAAAATGTAGTCAAAAAATGTGATTGTTTTTCGACCTTTCTTTTAAGTATTATTAAAGAAATAAGTTATTTTCTCTTAAAAGATCATAAAACTAGAAAAAGAGAAGCTATACTGATCTTACAAGGAGCCTAGCTGGAAGAAGATGTTGTCAGTAAAATAACGTTTTTCCCCCATTTTTACAATCATGAGTGATTTTTTATTTTTTTTTTCATTTTATTTCAGTGTTGAAAACAGGTACAGACCTAGAACTTTTTTTTTATGTTTTTTATTTTGTGCACAAATCCCTCATTTTTTAAAGAGCACACATTTAAGTCAGGCAGATGTGTGGAGATCTTCATGTGTCACAAAAAAGAACTCTTAAAAACAAATGCTCACTTGAACTTGGCAGTTCTATCTGTCATATATTACTGTAGAAATAGTGAGGAATTGCCGTAGAGTCAACAACAAAAGATTTTAACCAATCTGGTTGTATGATCTAATTGAAATGTCTCTGTAAAGTGCCTTTAGATGATGTGCTGTAATTTGGTGCTATATAAACTGCACTGAATTTAAACTAATTTACCAATATTTAAAATTGAAGCTGTAAAAGATAAGTTTTGTTCCTATAACGATCACCATGGAGTAGAAAGTCAACTCTGTCTAAAGGCATCTTCAGGTCAGGTCACCAAGTTTCCTTAAAAAAAAAAATGAAAAGCTCCCTGTTTGTTCAGGAAAATGTCTTTCCTTTCCTGCTATCATTGTTTTTCAAAAATGGGGATAAACTGTTTTACTGAAACGCCCACATTGATGCTAATTTGGTACAAAATGTCCTAGGTTGACGCAATCAAATGTCTATAACTCTTCATCGCCTTGGTTAAGCACAGTAAAGGATCTGTGATGCTGTGGGTCTGCTTCTTTTCAATTGGTGCTGGGAAACCTTTTAGAATGAATTGCACTATGAACTTTTTAATTAATAAGAAAATGGCAGGATACTGATCTGCTACATACACTCACCGGCCACTTTATTAGGTACATCATGCTAGTAACGGGTTGGACCCCCTTTTGCCTTCAGAACTGCCTCAATTCTTCGTGGCATCGATTCAACAAGGTGCTGGAAGCATTCCTCAGGGAGTTTGGTCCATATTGACATGATGGCATCACATGGTTGCCGCAGATTTGTCGGCTGCACATCCATGATGCAAATCTCCCGTTCCACCACATCCCAAAGATGCTCTATTGGATTGAGATCTGGTGACTGTGGAGGCCATTTGAGTACAGTGAACTCATTGTCATGTTCAAGAAACCAGTCTGAGATGATTCCAGCTTTATGACATGGCGCATTTTTCTGCTGAAAATAGCCATCAGAAGTTGGGTACATTGTGGTCATAAAGGGATGGACATGGTCAGCAGGTAGGCTGTGGCATTGCAATGATGCTCAATTGGTACCAAGGGGCCCAAAGAGTGCCAAGAAAATATTCCCCACACCATGACACCACCACCACCAGCCTGAACCGTTGATACAAGGCAGGATGGATCCATGCTTTCATGTTGTAGACGCCAAATTCTGACCCTACCATCCGAATGTCGCAGCAGAAATCGAGACTCATCAGACCAGGCAACGTTTTTCCAATCTTCTATTGTCCAATTTCGATGAGCTTGTGCAAATTGTAGCCTCAGTTTCCTGTTCTTAGCTAAAAGGAGTGGCACCCGGTGTGGTCTTCTGCTGCTGTAGCCCATCTGCCTCAAAGTTCGACGTACTGTGCATTCAGAGATGCTCTTCTGCCCACCTTGGTTGTAACGGGTGGTTATTTGAGTCACTGTTGCCCTTCTATCAGCTCCAACCAGTCTGGCCATTCTCCTCTGACCTCTGGCATCAACAAGGCATTTCCGCCCACAGAACTGCCGCTCACTGGATGTTTTTTCTTTTTCGGACCATTCTCTGTAAACCCTAGAGATGGTTGTGCGTGAAAATCCCAGTAGATCAGCAGTTTCTGAAATACTCAGACCAGCCCTTCTGGCACCAACAATCATGCCACGTTCAAAGTCACTCAAATCACCTTTCTTCCCCATACTGATGCTCGCTTTGAACTGCAGGAGATTGTCTTGACCATGTCTACATGCCTAAATGCACTGAGTTGCCGCCATGTGATTGGCTGCTTAGAAATTAAGTGTTAACGAGCAGTTGGACAGGTGTACCTAATAAAGTGGCCGGTGAGTGTATATGGATACTTAATGAACCTTTAATGGCCTCTGAACTCCCCAGACTAAATCCCCAAAAAAGGCCTTACACATTTATTATGTTTATTGATGTCAGAGAAGAGTTAATGTCCCATTCACAAAAAAAACAAAAAAAACAATGGATGTTAACATCAGAAGTAGAACAACTATTTTATGTGCCTCTACACAAATCAATTAAAAATGTTTAATTTATTATGATCAATACATTTATAATAATAGCAGCAATTTGCAAGGCAAATAAAAAGAAAATCTGAATCT